AAGTGCATGACCAAGACCGATTTTGCACAACACTAACTGTTATAAATCCACTATTATCACAAATTTAAATAGTTCAAAATTTGAGCCTCAATCGATAGATTCATTTCTGATCATTGATATAAAGTATTTTTTATGAAATGGTTTACCTCTTACCATAATGTAGATATTGTATATTGCATCTAAAGTAGAAAAAAAATGATCATTTTACTTTTAAACCTGTTAAAGGTGGTAGGAGAGTATTTGTTTCGGAGTGGTATAACTTAGTTTTTGTATAATTTGAAAATTTCTATTTACCAATCAATATCAATATACCTGTTATCAATGAAATGGATTAATAATCATAATATGATAAATTGTAATAATGTTCATCACACCTGAATTTTCCATTAGTCCAGAATCTAAGCTTTCCCTTGTTTTATTTATTTTTCATTACTTTTTTGGGAAATTAGAGATTGTTGGCTATAATATATTTTCAATTTTATCACACAGGATATACCAAGTAAAAATAACTAATAGTGAAACATAAAACTGTAAGGATAAAATACAACCAATTATCAATTGATTGAAGAACTATCAAATTTAACTTGAAAAAGAAAGAAAACATATAATCAACAAAGGAATATAAAAAAAACAAAAGATAAAACAGAGAATATTTATTTATTTACAAAGGAATTTAAATTTATAAATGCTCCACATATACATTTATAGATTTACTGCTAAAAACAGACAAATGAAGGAAATTCTTTTTACTAATTGAATTTATTTAAGTCTAAATACAATAAATCTCTTAAGAATAGTATCTTTAATATTGTGACAATTAATTATGTGTTCTGCATCAACAGAACTCATTTCTTTCTATGAAAAAATTCTCTTAAATCACCTCTTACTAAGTTGATTTGGCTCATGCAGGTTTCGAAAATGACTTAATCATTTAATTTTTTACTTCATTTTATTGATTTTCCTTTATAATTCAGTGGTTATGAAAGAAAAAGATGGAAATTAAGTTTGATACTTGGCTATAGAAGATAATTTCTATAATTTGAGGCTACTAGCTAATACAATTTTTATTTCGAAGTCAGTGGTTTCAAGTATAAAATTGAAATTTGGTTTTCCTTTATAGTTATTGTTACTTTCAATATTAAAAATATGAGTGTAGTTGATGATCCTTAAATCATAGTTAATTGAGCATAGTTGTGATCTTAAATGACTCTTGACTTAAATGATAAAAACTATTGAATAAACATTAACAGTTTTATTATTTCAATAATAAGAAAAATAATAATTTCATTTCAGAACTTTTGCAGCACAACAACCTATTTCTTAAAAATCAATCATAATGAGTATCATACCACTTATTCTGGCATAAAAGAAAACTACTCGTGAGTTACTCGAGATCTCAATAAAGCTAAGGATCATAAACTATACTCATATTTAAATGATGAAAGTAACAATAACTATAAAGGAAAACCAAAGTTCAATTTTATACTAGAAATTACTAACTTCAAGATAAAAATTGTGTTAGCTAGTAGCCTCAAACTATAGACACTATCTTCATATAACCAAGTTTCAAACTTGATTTCCATCTTTTTCTTTCATTACCACTGAATTAAAAAGGAAAATTAATAAAATAAAGTAAAGAATTAAAGTATACTCACGATTTTAAGTCTATGAAGAAGAAACCAAACTTATCACTTTAAACACTAATGTGTATAACTATTAAATAAAAACTACCTATTAGTAAACTAAATCTATAACTAAAAACACAATTAAACTTTTAAACAAAATATCACTAATAAAATAAGAGTCTGTGAAGATGAAACCTATCACAGAACATGAAACCAAAACTATCACTTTAAACACTAAAACGTATAACTATTCAATAAAAACTACCTGTTAGTAAACTAAACCTATCACTTAAACAACAAAATTAAGCTTCTAAACTAAAATACTGCTAATAAAATATGAAAATTTAATAGTTTTGAGGTGCCTACAGAGCAAGCAGGTAGTAAGGGACGCTCCAAGATGGCCAACCAATCAAAAATCGACTCCATATGACAGCACTGTATTATTAAGACATTGTAGGAGGGGTTGTGTTGTCAGCCCTTGTCCCCCCCACCTCACTTCCATTTTAAGTAAATATAGAAATTAGTAATAGCCCTCATGCGGGGTTATTACCGCGTATGGGGAGCGTCCCACGGGTGGCGGATGTGGGGATGGTCGGTGGAAATTCCTTGGAAGTTCGTCCCGGCTAAGTCCGATAGACTCGCTAACCAACAATGAGAGGGCCCCCCCAGACTTACTGGAGGAAAGGGGCCCACCAGACTTGCTGGAGGGTGTGACGTAAGATTGAACGCCCTACTAACATATCTTTAGTTCACCATACACCACAAATAGTCATGGATCTCTTTAAGGTAAAACGCTTTTTATCAGGAGGTAAACTAGTCCCCCATTCGAGTTTCTGGGTAGGGACTGCTTTAGGTGATGCATGGCGCAAATTGAAAAATAGCGATTTAAATATTGGTAAGTGGAAAGTAAGGAGTTGACAGCAGGGGGGTTAAAATCAGTCGCTAATGAGGTTAATGGGTACAATTTGGATGTCGTGGCTCTGCAAGAGGTTCGCTGGCCAGGGGAGGACTCGATAAGGGAAGAAAAGTACACTATTTGATACGGAAGAAGCGGGAATCATTGTTTAGGTAGCGGGTTTCTAATTAGGGATAGATTGCTATCGGCTTCGAGGGACGTACAATTATTTAGTGATAGAATTTCGGTAGCTACATTTCAGGGACATTGGTTTAAAATCGTATTAATTAACATACATTGTCTGACTGAAGACAGTGACGATGAAGTCAAATATGAATTATACGACAAACTCGAATGGGTTTATGATAAACTACTGCAAAACTCCATGAAAATATTTGTAGGTGACACGAACGTAAAGGTGGGAAGGGAAGAAGTTTATGTTCCAACGATTGGTAAAGAAAGTTTGTACGAATATAGTAATGATAATGGGATCCGTATGATAAATTTTGCCATCTCCAAAAACTTGATAATTAAAAGTAGTGATATAGGTATGATTGTATTTTTATGTTTTTAATTTACTTATATTTAGGTTTTTTTATTGTATATAGTTTTTATTTATTATTATTTAGTTATTGTTTTACTTTGTTAATTTTATTTTTTTTTTTGTATATACGGTGTGAATGTGCTCATTTATCAATATAATTATTGTCCCTGTGACAGAATATTGTATGTTTAAATAAACAAATAAAAAATAAAAAAAGAAAAAAAAAGTAGTATGTTTAAACATAAGGATATTCATAAATATACTTGGACATCACCGGATTCGCAAACACAAAATCAAATTGATCATGTCTTGATACAACATAGCTGGCAAAGCAGTGTAATTAATGTACGTTCTTATCGCGGAGCAGAATGTGGGTCGGAGTAATAGCGAAACTTCGACAAATACTTAATATAAAAAAGAGAAAAGAAAACCGTTTTGATTATATGAATTTTAATTTGGAAAAATGAAATCTATCAATTAAAACCCAATTCCAGCTAGATGTTAAGAATAGGTTTGAAGCTTTAGAGCTTTCTGACGAGGACCGCAAGGATGTTGACAAGTTATGGGTAGAGATGCTTTAAATATATTTTTACCTATACATCTCAATTATTCACATTTGGTTATTTTAATTTCTAAATTGTCTTAATCTCCAAACCAATTTAAATAATCTGATCAGTTATTCCTAACCATTTCCATTGCTATCTACTTACTTTATCTGTATCTGCTTTTTCTGTTTACTGTCAGAATGAGATATTAAGCAAGAAAGTGTAAGTTATCTTCATCCTGTTGTGAATTTTGCCAGGAGCAATTCTTTACCTTCTTCTTCATTAAAAATATTTGTATTTGATTCAAATTCATTAAATTAACTCTTCCTTTGAAAATTCAGCATATCGTAGATAGAAGTTTTATATTTTTTAAAATCAGCTTGTGTATAAAATGTACCTTAGTTATATAAATGAAGTATAGACCTATGAAAGATTTAGGTTTTACATCATCTCATGATAGGTTTTACAGATCTAAACCTCATGGCTTTGGAATATATTCTAACTACATAGTATAATCTGAATATATTTATAGATTTTATGTATATATTTACTATTGAATTTCTTGAAATATTGACCCCCAAGACTGGAGTTGTGTGGTTTAAACATAGCAATGGAGTTAGGTTTTCATTTGTTACGAAAGTAACACTATTTCAAGATACACAACAACTTTAACACATTTCAATGATGAACCTTCGAGAAATGTAAGAAAGACATTATGTTAAATCCTTAAAAAATGCATTAGGGAGGTTTTAACTGATTAAAAACCAAAACAGTAAGGTATTCCATATTGTTCCAGCAAAAAATCTTCAAGGTAATTTAAATGACACATAATGCATACAACAGATAAGATCAATTTTATAAAATGAAACAGACTATTAATTGAAGAAGTGCTGAACAGAATGAATAAAACAAATTAAGAACAGCAAAAACAAATTAAGAGAATAAAAAAATTTGAAGATTAAATTAAAAATCCTCCTTACATTAGATCCTTTGTTTTACTACATTGAATTTCAAATTATGCTTTACATATTGTAACCATTAATACAAAACATAATTATGAAATCTTAATGATTATGCTGCAGCAAATGAAAGCAAAAAGTGCGGTTCATAATAATACTGATATATCAGTGTGAGAAAAATACTTGGAAGTGGTCAGAAGGATTTTAAATTAACTAAATTATTTTACTTTAAAAAACAAACAAATTTGTAATTATAAACATAAAATAAAAAAATGCATAACAACTTTTTAAAAAATAATTATTGGCTGAAAAGAAAGATTATCCAATCTTATATTCCTTTCAGGAGAGACATTATATAATAATAATTAACAGACTAAAACTGATAAAACTAGCGCGAATACACAAATAAATGCTAAGAATGACATTCAATACCTTGGGGCAACTGGATGTAGATAAAGTTTCTTGTAACATATTATAGAACCGCGAAAACACAACTTCAAGAACATTTAACAACTGAGCTCGCGATATCAAAGCGTCATAACCTATTCTTTAACCTCCCCCCATCTAAAAATAACAACACGTGAAATTAAATAACAAATATGTGTAAATATATAACATACTTAACGTTCTAAACTCACAAAAAAATATTTATGGAGCGCAATATTTATTTTACAATTTGTTAAATAACAAGAAATGTCTGCGGTTTACATTAATGACAATAATTACAATTATATTGAACGAACGTTCATAAACTTTTTTTTTTAAACATTTATTATTTAATTCATCCCTGTCACAGCCTATAACAATAAGTGGATGTGATCTTTATTGATAGAATTGGCATGTCAGGCATAAGGGAGGTCGGTACCCATCGGCACCTATTCCTAACTTGAAATAAATTAACTCATTTACTGGAGACTCACTTTCCGGATAGTTCATATTACCTTCTCCAGGGTCCATATGAGTTGAACAGCATCGGTGATAGTCCATCACTTTGCCGTAAGACCGTTCGTACTATGAAGGCTTCAGATACTTCTCCTTGTATTTGGTATCTTCAGTTGTGGTCATTTGTACACGCCTTTGCCAATTTCACCAACTTACCGGGAACTCCTAGTTTAGTCATGATTTTCCAAAGATAGTTCCTGTACAATATTGGGGGGCCCGATACATGCCATATGCCCGGGAGCCCTTTTCTTGTGAAATATAAAAATAATCTTCTGTGGAGGAATACTTGTGAATATATACAAAATAGCAATATTTAAAAAGTCTCTCTCTCTCTCCCTCTCTCTCTCTCTCTCTCTCTCTCTCTCTCTCTCTCTCTCTCTCTCTCTCTCTCTCTCTCTCTCTCTCTCTCTCTCTCTTATTTTTTTTTCCTTCTTTCCCCCCGCTGTACCTTAGGGCAACCCTATACCAGCGGTACATCCAATTTTCTAACTGAAAAATATGCCACGAATTTAAAGGGCTCGGTTACCAGGATTGGTAACCAAGCGGGCAGGTCTGCTCTCACTTTGATCCAAATTCTTGGGTCAAAGTGAGGCAAAATTCGGTCTTTTAGTTTGATTGGGGCATTAATTATTACGGGTAAACCTACACTAATGGGCTGCCTGCAACTGGAGGGCTGTTCCCACCAAACAGGACTCCAGTAACTTCCTACCTACTTATTGTGGGCCTATTACTAAGTTTATATATACTATTTCTAAATCTTATGATAACAATAAATTTATGTATTTGGTATATCACCGGTTAAATCTTTCCTCTCTTGCTATTTTTTCATGGAATATCCTCCTGGCGTATTTCTTAAAGGCATCAAATATCTTAGGTGTCTCCACAAGGTTGCCCAGGGACCGAGGAGGCCATTCCAACATGGAGTACTCTCCTGCCAATGCTTGTCGGGCGCCAGTGTACATTGGACATTCCAAAATCATGTGTCTAGCGTCCTCAACAGCCCCGCAGTGACAATTCGGACTGGCTCTTCTATGAAAAAAATGTAATTTTTCATTTATATCTCCGTGGCCTGTGAGGAGTTGAACAGTCCAGAAATTCGTCTTTACCCAGTCATTCTTGATTCTTCTCCTGACATCTGGGAAGAACTCATGGGTCAGTCTTCCAGTCTCGCATGCATCCCACCTTCTCTGCCATTCTGAAAGGACTAGTTCTTCTATTCTGTCGGCTACCTCGTCGTACCTTCCACTAGGGCACACAAAACAGCTTGTTCCCACATTTCTCTCTCTCTCTCTCTCTCTCTCTCTCTCTCCTCTCTCTCTCTCTCTCTCTCTCTCTCTCTCTCTCACTCTCTCTCTTTTTTCTTTTTTTTCCTTCTTTCCCCCCGCTGTACCTTAGGGCAACCCTATACCAGCGGTAAATCCAATTTTCTAACTGAAAAATATGCCCATTACAACTTTCCCCATTACATTTAGGAGGCATATTGGGCGGTAAGATTTAGCAGTGACTTCTGTTATACCGGTCTTCAAGATAGTAACCAGCTCAGCCTGTTTCCAGATACAGGGGAAAATGCCTTTATTCAAGCATCGGTTGTAGAACATAGTTAAAGGCTTAATCAGTGCGTTTTTTGTATTTCTAAGGATATCGGCTCCTATCATATCCGGTCCTGATGCCTTTCCCGATCGGAGTTGTCCCATAGCCAACCCCACGTCTTCCTCTTCCCATGGAAGCGCATCGTCGGTTTGCGGAAGTTCACACATTGTAATTCTTTTGTGAGCATGGTCTTCTGTGTCTGAAATTAGTTCGTCTTCAGGGAAAGATCTCACCATTATAGCATTAACAACCTCATCTGCCGTTCTGGTTGAATCCCCATTGTGCATAAACGATGTGAAGGAGTTTCTATTTGAGATTTTATCAAGGGTTCTCCGATAGGCTAGTCCCCAAGGGCTTTTGCATTGGTCTAGGTATCGGTGCCATGTCTCTTTCTTTGCTTTTCCTATTGCCTTTTGGAAACTCTTATTAAGTTCGTAATATGCTTTTTTGACATTTCTTTTGGTAACAGCATCGTTTTCACGCTGAAATCGGCGTCTTGCTCTGTAGGTCTCCCGCTTCAGGCTTGTGAGTTGTGTGTTCCACCATATTTGTCCCTTTCTTATTGACTCTCGTGTTATGGGCAACACCTCCTTAACCGCTGTGAAAATTTCTGTTGAGATTTTCGCTGCCTCTTTTTCTAATTCCATATGATGGTGTTGCTCCAGCTCTGTTAGGTGCCAAGCAATCTCTCTCTCTCTCCTCTCTCTCTCTCTCTCCTCTCTCTCTCTCTCTCTCTCTCTCTCTCTCTCTCTCTTATTTTTTTTTCCTTCTTTCCCCCCGCTGTACCTTAGGGCAACCCTATACCAGCGGTACATCCAATTTTCTAACTGAAAAATATGCCACGAATTTAAAGGGCTCGGTCACCAGGATTGGTAACCAAGCGGGCAGGTCTGCTCTCACTTTGATCCAAATTCTTGGGTCAAAGTGAGCCAAAATTCGGTCTTTTAGTTTGATTGGGGCATTAATTATTACGGGTAAACCTACACTAATGGGCTGCCTGCAACTGGAGGGCTGTTCCCACCAAACAGGACTCCAGTAACTTCCTACCTACTTATTGTGGGCCTATTACTAAGTTTATATATACTATTTCTAAATCTTATGATAACAATAAATGTATGTATTTGGTATATCACCGGTTTATTCTTTCCTCTCTTGCTATTTTTTCATGGAATATCCTCCTGGCGTATTTCTTAAAGGCATCAAATATCTCAGGTGTCTCCACAAGCTTGTCCAGAGACTGAGGAGGCCATTCCAACATGGAGTACTCTCCTGCCAATGCTTGTCGGGCGCCAGTGTACATTGGACATTCCAAAATTATGTGTCTAGCGTCCTCAACAGCCCCGCAGTGACAATTCGGACTGGCTCTTCTATGAAAAAAATGTAATTTTTCATTTATGTCTCCATGGCCTGTGAGGAGTTGAACTGTCCAGAAATCCGTCTCCACCCAGTCATTCTTGATTCTTCTCCTGACATCTGGGAAGAACTCATGGGTCAGTCTTCCAGTCTCGCATGCATCCCACCTTCTCTGCCATTCAGAAAGGACTAGTTCTTCTATTCTGTTGGCCACCTCGTCGTACCTTCCACTAGGGCACACAAAACAGCTTGTTCCCACATTTGCTGGCACTCCTCTCTTTATTCTATATTTGGCTATAGATATTTGTATTTTCAGGTCTATAGGCAATTGTCCTGTAATTACTTGCAAAGCCGAAGTGGGTGCCGTTCTGTACGCTCCTGTCACCAGTAGGAGAGATCTTCTTTGAGCTTGCTCCAGCACACTGATGTCTGACTGTCTCAGTTTCTGGCCCCAGACCGGCGCCGCATATAATGCAATAGGCAAGAAAGAAGCCTTATATAGGGTTTCCCGGTAACCATATTTGAGACCCCAGGTGGTCCCTGCCATCGTTTTAAGGCAACTGTAACGGACAATAGTTTTGCTCTTAATTTCTTTTAGGTGGTTAGTGAAGTTACACCTCTCGCCCAATAGGACTCCTAAGAACTTCACTTCCTGAGATGGTTTTATTAGACATCTCCTAACTTTACTCTGGGAGAAACCCTACCATTTTTCCCTTCAAAACAGAGTCAGTCTTCTGAACATTTAAAGAGAGTTTATTTTCCTGGCACCATTGCAAGTCTATGTCATGACTTCCGCTCCCTTATTTCCAATCTTTCGTGATTTTGCCTCTATTCCACGCAAGTCGTCTCTTCACCTGATCAGTCCACGACTCTCTCTCTCTCTCTCTCTCTCCTCTCTCTCTCTCTCTCTCTCTCTCCTCTCTCTCTCTCCTCTCTCTCTCTCTCTCTCTCTCTCTCTCTCTCTCTCTCTCTCTCTCTCTCTCTCTCTCTCTCTCTCTCTCCTCTCTCTCTCTCTCTCTCTCTCTCTCTCTCTCCTCTCTCTCTCTCTCTCTCTCTCTCTCTCTCTCTCTCTCTCTCTCTCTCTCTCTCTCTCTCTCTCTTTTTTTTTTTTTTTTTTTTTTTTTTTTTTTCCTTCTTTCCCCCCGCTGTACCTTAGGGCAACCCTATACCAGCGGTACATCCAATTTTCTAACTGAAAAATATGCCACGAATTTAAAGGGCTCGGTCACCAGGATTGGTAACCAAGCGGGCAGGTCTGCTCTCACTTTGATCCAATTTCTTGGGTCAAAGTGAGGCAAAATTCGGTCTTTTAGTTTGATTGGGGCATTAATTATTACGGGTAAACCTACACTAATGGGCTGCCTGCAACTGGAGGGCTGTTCCCACCAAACAGGACTCCAGTAACTTCCTACCTACTTATTGTGGGCCTATTACTAAGTTTATATATACTATTTCTAAATCTTATGATAACAATAAATGTATGTATTTGGTATATCACCGGTTTATTCTTTCCTCTCTTGCTATTTTTTCATGGAATATCCTCCTGGCGTATTTCTTAAAGGCATCAAATATCTCAGGTGTCTCCACAAGCTTGTCCAGAGACTGAGGAGGCCATTCCAACATGGAGTACTCTCCTGCCAATGCTTGTCGGGCGCCAGTGTACATTGGACATTCCAAAATTATGTGTCTAGCGTCCTCAACAGCCCCGCAGTGACAATTCGGACTGGCTCTTCTATGAAAAAAATGTAATTTTTCATTTATGTCTCCATGG